ACTCTCTGTTTGTCTGTTGCGTTACTCTCCCGCTTTCTCTCCCCTTGTCTGTCTTCCATAAACCTAAATTCCTCCCAGCCCCTCATATTCTGTGCTGATGTGAGGGTAAATTTAAGAGCTTACGGGCAGAGTGACCTGAACATCCCAGGCCAGCTTGGTGGAGTTAGCTGACTGAACTCTGGGCTAGCCGAGGCCTACGCATCAGTATTGTTTGTGTAAGAGCACCAGAGGGGATTTGGACAAGGAGTGTGAGCTCTGAATGTGTGACCCGCAGCTGGCCTTACCATTGGATTAGCTCACCCTGATCCCACAACCTCTGAACATGCTCCCTACTATTTCAAGATCTCTCCATTTATGCCCAGCCAAGCACATTGTGACCAGTAATCTATAGTTTTCTTCTCTCCGAAGGGAGAAGATATACTGTTCAGCTTTTTGCTTTGCCCCTGCAGCCCCTCCCTCTCTCCCGGTTTATCCACACTTTTCTCTGTTTATTTTGCACTTGTTCCCTCTCTCTCTTTCTCTCTCTCAGAACAAATTCCCCCTCTTTCACCTCGCTCCTCTCGCCATCCATCTTTTCACCCCTCATTCCTCTTCCTCTAACTATCCCTCTCTCCTTCATTCCTCCTCTCTTTTTAAAGGGGGATCAGTGGAGCTTAGACGCCTTCCTGCTTGGTTCATTACTGAGCTGCTCTGACATGGTGAGCTCGTCTCTCTAGTAAGGAAAAGGAGAACGCCACTGATGTTTAATACATGGACCACTCTGTTGTCTTTCACGCCAGATAAATTCATCATCAAAAACTGAGCGCAGAACAGCAACAGAGCATGTAAACCTGCTCTCTCAATCTAGATTCCCAATCTTTCTTTCTTTTCTTTTTTGTCCTCGCTCTCCATTTAGCTTATTGCCTCTCGCTCTGGTTCTCTCTCTCTCTCTCTCTTTGTTCCGTCACATCTCAGTGAACTGGAGCAAACCTTTTCATTGTCCTTCAGTTGGAGTAAACACACAAACACAATGCAACGCCGCTGCTTGGCCCACAACATGAAACACAGCTCATGAAAAGAAAATTGGCCCATTCCATTCGGCATATGTGTACATTGTGTGTGTGTCTGTGTGTAAATATGTAACCTGTACTGGGCATGTCCCTGTGTGTGCACACGTGTTCCTATTACCATGTACATCCAACTTCCCACTGCGTGTGTGTTAGCATGAGGGAGAGAGTGTGTGTGTGTGTGTGTGTGTATGTGTGTGTGTGTGTGTCAGAGCCGTATGGGTATGTATGCGTTTGCCTGTTTGTCCTCTCTGTGTGGGTGTGTGCGTGGGTGGCAGGCCTGCCTTGATAATGCCAGAGCCTGTTTCTAATCCAGGCCTCCTCAGTGGGCTGTAGCTCTAGCTGTGCCAGGCAGGCCTGCTGCAACACCAACAGAGCCTTAGCTGACAGCTAGCCTGCTCCTCTCTCTGCTTTCTGGGCAATCTCTGAGCTCTAAACCTTAACAATGGGTTAAAAAGTGCAATGTGAAGAGCATAAAGGAACAAAAAAAATTTAGTAGTTGAACAGGAAAATAAGTTAGCCCGAGACCAGGACAGCTCTTTTAGGATGATCTTAAAAAAAGATTTTTATAAAAAAAAAGAAAAAAGAAATGACCCAAAAAGAAGGAAAGGCAGATAGTAATGGTGATGCTGGGGGGGGGGTCATTGGTAAAGGGTTTAGGATGAAATCAAAGTGGTTAAAGCTGATTTATCCTGTGTAAGGACGCCAAGCTCTCTAAGGAGGCACTGAACAGCCCTTCAAAAATGAAATATCAGCAGCAGTCAGTGCCAGTCATCAGTGCCATGTGTGATGGAAAATCAATCTATTTTATATCACAGACCTGTGAGGAGAAAACGAGAAAGACAGGTCCCTGCTGCCTCCTCGCTGCACCTCTTTAAACGTCTCCCCAACAGAAACATCCCAGAACGGTCTGCGTCATCAGTGACGGAGACATTCACAGTGCTGGTGGCTCAATGTGTAACGGCTGCTGTTCTGCTAGATTAGGTAGGTGATTGGCCATTAATATTCATTTCACAGTGTGTCTTTGTTAGGCAGCAGCAGGGGCTGACGGAGTGTTTGGAAGGATTTACTCCACCGTATATTTCCCTTTAATTTCTATAGGCAAGGTGGTTTACTCGTATGGCCTCAGTGAGCTAGCGCATTTCTCAACGTACCGTAATTTCTACCAGTTTGTTCTATCAGATAAGGTGAAAGCGATGAACATCTCCAATGGGAAACTGTTCAGTTTTGATCAAATGTGAAAGAGTCATCAAATATTTAGTGGAATTAGAAGAATATGTTCCACTGTCTTCCTGTTTAATGGCTATAGGCAGGCATCGAAACTGCAGTTTTTACAGAAAGTGTAACCAGGGCGCCCGGTTAGCTCAGTCAGTAGAACTGACGACACATATACGCAGAGGCCCAGGTTCGGGTCCGACCTGCGGCCCTTTGCTGCATGTCATCTCCTCTCTCTCTGCCCCCCTTTCCTGTCTATCTCCAGCTGTCTCTCTATCAAATAAAGGCATAAAGGCCAAAAAAATAATACTTAAAAAAAAAAAGTGTAACCAGGGAGACTGATCTGGTCTGGGGCTGTCTGGTCTTAATAACAGTACAGAGTTGTTCCTTGAGGAGCGCAGATCCAGCAGGCATAAAACCACAGAAACAGGTCTTTCCCTGATGGACGACCAACCTAGTGCAGGTGATCTGAACGGTCCTCCTCATAATGAGATTAAGGGACTAATTAGTATGACTGTGTGTCGTAGTGTGACTGTGTGCACTGAGGAATATATGGCCCCTATCGGACTAGCAGTGTGGCCCCTGAGAGAGCAGGCCAGACTGGGTCTGTCCCTGGTGTCCCTCCCTCTACTGCACTGAGAGGCTAATTAATATTTTTTGCATTCACTCTTCCAGCTTCTGTACAACATGCTAAGTTATAGTCTTGAAGTTATTGATCTGGATTCTGGCAACAGAAGGCAAATAAGGATCAAAATAACAATTTAATCTTGGCAGTTCTGACAATGTGAAATAAGGAGAGCAATAATTAAATTACCCTGAAATTACAGACAGCACAATGAAATCCTCTTCAGTCTTTTACAGCAAAAAAGAAGTTAGGGCTTGTAAAAGTAGGCCATGGAGGAGCATCAGCAGCACCACAGTGTATCAGCTAACAGTAGCAAGAGCAGCTAAAGACAGAACCAGATATGGAGAAAGCCTAAATTATCTTTGCCTATGATAATGTCACACAGGAAATTATAGGATGAGAATACAAGATTAAAAAAATGAAATTCAGTTCCATTCCCCTCCTGTTTCCCCATTTTGCTTTTGCTTCTACCTCCTAACCCATTAAAGTCACGCTAGTGTTTGATTGCCCCTGCGGCGCCACTCTGACCTGTTCATTTAAGATGATGTGCAACTCTCAGGTCTGTTCCAGCACTCATTTGTTCCTCAGTGGGGTCCCCACGGCTGACCAGTAAGAGGACCCCATACTGACCAAAGTGCCCTGGGAGCTCTAAAACCAGCCACTCACAACCAAGTAAAGAGACAGCTGAGTGTCATTGTTAATGTGGACACACAGCACCACAATGGCAAAATCAATGGAGCTATAGGGGACATCAATCTTGACAGCACAAGACCCTTTCGCTTGTCTCACCACTCTGCTCTGAATGAATGAATGAGAGAAGGAGGGAAGATGAAGGAAAAGAAGAAAGAAGGAAGAAAAGAAAAGAAAAGAAAAGAAAGAAAGAAAGAAAGAAAACATGAAGGACTGACAGTGATCTTTATTGGCCTTTCCTCCATCCATCTCAAGGGGTTATGCTGTCCTTTGAAGATTGTGTGCATTTGACAGGCAGCCAAAGTGGCCAGCCATCCTAATTCACCCAAAACAGGCAGAGGTTTTTAGGTAAAGCCTCAGAAGTGCAGCATGGCAGCTGTATGCAGTTGGCATCGTGCTTGCATTTTCTCTCCCCGCCTGTTTTTCACTTCTAAATCTCTCTTTCCCTCCACCAGGATGAGAAAGTGCTCCTCCATTAAACAACAAAAAGGCACTCTGCTTTGTTACGGGGTGACACATGAGATGCTTACCAAAAAATAACAGCAAAGTTCATTATCTCTGCCACTGACTTAAAGGATGCCTCCTCATCCCATTAACATATATGCAGATAGGCAGTGAGTAAATGAAAGGCTCCAAAAAACAAGAGAGATCAAAGACGACAGAATTAAGGCCAAGTAATGAGGATCTTGGCAAGAACCCTGCAAATTTATTGATTGTTTGGCAAGCTGTATGAGCTCCTGCTCCATTTCCTCTCCCTCTATACCATTTATTCTTGTGTTTCAAATACACACAGACCAAGCAGTGTATGCTTTAACATGTGGCCCACTTTGTGTGGCTATGACTTCCAGTATTGAGCCTAATCACTATATAAGAATGAGAATGTACTTGGCATAGGAAACAATAATGGCAGCAGGGAAGCTCATAACAGCCCTACAACAAACTTTAAATAAGACAGACTCTTTAATCAATTACAGTAAAGGGCACACGCAGCATTAAACTATGTGAGATTAATCCACAAACTCAGTGGATCTGAACCAGAAACAAATACAAAAGCTACAATATGTGAGATTACAGACATTTTCACTAAAATGTTGCTACAAGCAGAGAGGTAGTCAAACTAAGATGACACCAAATCTCATCTCATCTCGTAATGTATTTAATATACATTGAAAGGCTGTTCAGTTAAGCTATTTAACAAACTTTATATGTAATGATCCAACTGCTAGCATTATGTATGTTAGTGCAGCAACATGAGAACAAAAGGAATTGGGATAAGATTTAAAAAAAAGAGTGTTGGCTGAAGAAATATTGCAATGAGAGCAGTGGAACAGATGAGATCAGAGGGAAAGAATGAAAAGAATTAGCCTAGATAAGGCAGATGAAAAGGGGACATGAATAAATGATGAAGAAAAGAAGACAACTACCTCCACGGCTCTCGCTGTCAGCCGGTTTCACCTGGATGGGGCGAGTCATCTGGAGGAGAGAGAAGAAAGAGCAACAGAGAGGTTAGTGCTGGCGACTCGGGCTGTCGTTGGTACAACAAGAGGCCACAAACCAGAGGTGTCAAGGCCCTCTCTCCCATACTAATAGCTGTTCTGCGATACTGATCAAAGTTCCTTGGCTGGAGAGGAAACCAAAAAAAAAAACATGATGCAGCTAAGTTGACTTGACACTATAGTGTTTCTGCTGACGGTTATTCATTGTAAACAAAACAACACTCAGCTCCGTCTGTCTGTGCGTATCTATATGTCCATTCGTATATTTCATGGCAGGTGCATGGAGAGGCTGCGTGTGTGTATATGTGTGTCTGAGTGGACGGCCGAGGCAGTCCTAATAAAAGTGAATTCAGCCACAGGAGGAGAGAGATCAATGCAGACCTATCGATCCAGGCCCTTGGGCTGTGGAGAGTGTCTGGCTGGGAAGGATTCTCTGGTTAGGAGGCTCACTCTAATCCACTGGACCCTGATAAGAATGGCATTGCCTGGATTAGATGCCTCTGTCATCACAGTCTTTGTGTCACGCTCTCCTCCTTCCCCAATTTTGCCTCCTTCTTTTTTCATTATTGTTGTTCAAGTTGAACAATTTCACCAGACTTAGTGCGCAATTTGTTTGGAGGAAAAGTTTGAAAGATGCGGCTGTGATTTACAATAGGTTTGTTTCAGCTGCAGCACTGTTCTTTTAATTGAATATATGCCTCCAAGTCACATATTAGCACACAAACTGTTTATACACTCACCCACACACAATATGTATATATCTGCTGTAGCAGTGCATAAAGCTTACAAGATCACTTATGTGCACGGATCGGATGCCAGTGCCCCTCCTTCCACAATTCAGTCCAAAACAAATAGATTTAACAATAAAAAACGCACACATTTTAATAAAATTGGGGCCAAAAGTGGCACAAATTTATAACAAGATTACTGGAACATAAAAGCAACCTCTTACCACACACAGCCATTTACAGTAAACCATTTGTAGCTGCTATTTAAGCATCTTTTTATTGCTAGAAACTATTTGCCATTACCGGGCATCCCAGTCAGATCACTGAAAACTATCCAGGGCTGATATTTTTATACCTACATACGTATATTTCGTTCCATTGCCCTGTCATGTGTCTTTTTTTCTATTCAATTCCGGAGCAAAGCTGAAAAGGTCAGATTTAAAGACAGGGCAGTCCAATAAAAGCATGACATGTTCAAGGAGAAACACCATAATGGGATTTTAAAATGTCTTAATAACATGCTGATATATGGGGGAGAGGCCCAGGCCCGATTCATTAAGTGCTAAACGTATCCATTTTCACCTTGAGGAACTGAGTAACCTTCCCTCACTGAAATTATTCCATAAATTTACCCATCGTAAATAATAACTAGCACCGGCTAAGTCTTTGTAGAAAAACAGGGAGGATGTTATGCTTATGAAGGTTGAGGTTTTAGCTCCTTGTTTCTTGGCTCACTACCCATGCTTCTCCCTCCCCATCTACAAGTGCTTTCTTTTCCTTGTACAACACAAGCAAAGTAACCCTACAGTATGCTAATGCCAAGCCACAGGGCGCACTGCTCCACAGCATGTACGGATAGATTACAGAACCAACCGCGACACTATCGCACACATGTTTCAAAGCAACCTCCGAGACACAAACACCTCCGAATGGGGGGAAAAAAACATCCGCAAGACAAATTCGCAGATAACTTTACAACCCTCTGCTCCTTCACAACAACACAGGGAATCTTTGAATTTGCGTTTGACATGTCAAATGGACAAAAGATGCTTCCATCCTGCCAGCTGATTTTTGTTCAATGCACGATGGAGGAGGCCAAATCTGCGGCTGTGGCTCCTCAACCATGCTATGATCTCAGCCGTATCTACAGGGTGCCTGTGTGTGGGAGGCAGCTCTCTCTAAAGCTAGTTACTGTTCAGCCTCCAACATGCCAGCTTAATGGTCTATTTATTTGCCCGAGACCAATGCATTATGGTCCTGAACAGTCACTGCTGATTGGCTCTCAGTTTGTTCCATTCCCCTTGAACACATATGAAGAAAATTGTGTAATTCCAGCAGAAATTAAATGTACGTCGCAAAGAACACTTGTACTATATGCATGCTCACACATGGACAGACATGGTAACTTTAAGTGAAATGTATTAAGTGCTGCTGTTGCCTAGGAGACCATTCATTAACTCCAGATACTGTAGGGCACGTTTTCACTCGTCGTTAGTGGGCTGGAGCTAGTAGCGTCTCGAACACACCAACGATGAACTGAGTGAAACGGTTACTGCAGCTTCCTGTACAAATAACAACATGTTATAATTGCACTGTTTTTCAACCCTCCTTTCCTTGAGTAAGGGGAGTGGTTAGGTGAGGGAAGAGGAGTAACAAAGAGAACCAGAAGAAAAGAAGGGGAGAGATTGTAGAAAGACAACAAGAGATGGAGAGAAGGGTAAGAGAGATTGAGTGCATACAGAGAGAGAGAGGGAACGCTGCCTGCAACTCTTAGATAAGATTGGTTTGCTGCTGAGTGGCGTTTATCCTGCTCTGACTCCACCTACCTGCCTTTCTCTTTCAAACACTGAAAAATAGCAGCACAACTGCGCTGTACAAACACTGTACATTTACAAATCAACCACCTGCCTCCCTATAGACACCCCTGCTAAAAATGCATGTTTGCTTTTTTTCAATTATAAATTGCCCAAATCGCCAGATAATGAAAATGTGTTTTAAACTTGAACAGATATTGAGAGAGAAACTTTAATTTGTCTGTCTTGATATTCTGTTTCTTTGCCATGTTTTTTTTACCTGAGGACGTGTATGTGACTTAAGCATCTTGATTTATTAAACAGGGTTTACCAAACCAGGCATGACATGACTGGTGTTAATATAATGAAAAATGCATTTGTCAAAATATAAATGCTGGGGATGTTCTCAATTCAAATGGAATATTCAGTGAAGCACAAATAATTTGTCTCCTACAATTTATCTCCTCTAAATATTTGTTCTGATTTTGCTCAGTATTATTTGCATTTGAAGACCCATGAAGAAAACATAGCTGTAGCCCAGTGAAAAACACTTTCTTAAAAGACAGCTGCATGTTGTAGCCCTTCGAATCACATATTGTCAAACATTTCTAGTCTAGTATATGTGTTTTTTGTATGAAAACAAGCTTGCAGACACGTGAGATCTGCAAATTTAATTTTAAAAAACGGAAAATAAAAAGGAAAATAATTTGACAAGCTATGCTGGCTTATGGTGTATTTACATGTTAGTGAGAAGCTGTAAAATACTGCATATAATGCACTGAAAAAACAACAAAAGGACGTGTCAGGTACCTTTCTGAGGATATTAGAGTCGTCGATTTGACAAATATACCGTATCAGTTAACGCCAATTGCATCAAGTTCATCGTCAGTTGTTTTTTGGCTGATTTTTGTAATTTTATTTTGCTAATTTAATGGTCTGCCTCCGTTGAATGAGAGCCACTGCTCAGCAACACAGTAAGTTACACTCACTGAGTCGAAAAACGAGCGGGAGGAAAAACAACTGTAAAGCCAGAATATTTTCTCGTCCAGCTTGGTGAATTAAGAGTTTATTTCGACCAGTTTTACAACAGGGTATACAGTAACAAGGTGATTTATAGCAGGTCCGACTAAGACTCTGACACCGGGCACGATGAAGACAGTGGGGACAGGAGAGGTCGAGCATCAGAGAGCTAGCGACAGCATGTACAACCAGAATTTTTTCACATCTGTTGGTGATTGTTGGAAGAGCAATTATCGGTTTTTGGACTGATGGTGGCTGGTAGGAAAATGTTAACATATCTCCCAACCTAAGGACATTTTTTTTTACAAATACAGCGAATAAACAAGATTCTCTGATGACTCGAAACAACTTCACAACCGGCTACACAACCTTCAAATGAATTACTATGCTTCATCTTCCTCCTCTAGTAGAAAATACAGTTTTTGTTCTCCTCGTTCAAGCCCTGGTCTTTCTCTTTTCCACTCTACAAACTGTGCTGCTCCAAGGGCTTTGACAAATCTATAGTTCCATATGGTTTTATTAAGCCGTCTCATTTACCCAGTTGAGCCTCCAGTCAGTTGAATTAAAGCTCTTAGCACTAGTGTGCTGCTGTTTTATATGGAGGGTGAGACACAAACCCTCAGGCCTACAGTACATAATGTAGTGCGCAATACGCCAGGAATATACACACATTGCCTGTTGGTTTGTCTGTCTTTTGTTAGCCAGTCTACAAGACGGATGGCCTGCTACTCTTTAACTGAAACTAGCAACAAACATAATACACCAATGTACTCTTTCTCTGACTTTATCATACCTCAGTATCTCAGTATCCTGGTAAAGTTTGGCCTGATTGGGGAGCAAATGTCTTTATACCATACTATTATTAGGTACAAAAAGAACAGAAGACCCTGGGCTCCGGACACAAAAGACATTCCACTGTCTGATTTCAAATTACACTGAGCAAGTCAAGGAACTGTAGTCAGGACTTGGCCTGTTAGTAGTGCGGAGGATTTAGAGTCTACTGTTGGCACTATCTGCGACAGTAATGAGTTCATGACTAGTAGAGTTTAGCGGGATTGAGCAGTACAGAGTCCCAGACTCCACACTGCTGAAACCCTAGAGAGGGCCAGTAGCAAGACAATAATACTGCTTTGGAAAGGGTTTCAAAGACCTGGTGCAATTCCAAGCCCCAAACTTTGCAAGTCTTTAACTTTCATATTATCCAAAATGAAGAACCTCCAATACAGGAGAATGCAGTGAATATAATAAAATTGCAGGAAATCTTGTCCTGGTTTTGCAGAAGCTCATCATTCAGTAGTAAGTGTCTTTTTATAACAGTTATGTATCAGCACTTACTTACAGTGCTTGCAATAAAATAACGCTAATAGCCATACAATATATGCGATGTCGTCTGGCTTTCACTCAGGTTTAATATAGAGTAATGTTTGTCTTGGGAT